ATTGAAGGCTAGGTCTTCTTGAGGCACCTGAAACAGAAGGGTTAGTATGCGACCGTAGAATCCAGGAGATATCTCGTAGAGGCCGGTCACGTATAGCCTTTTCGATGCCACGACAACCGACCTGTATTATGGAAGATGTAGTCAGATATACATCTTGTGGTTTTGGATCCCCACTGATGACTAATCTGTGTTTAAGAATATAATAAGGGTATAAGAGTAACTGCCTTTTGTCTGACCACTACCCAACAGACCATTCTGGTATGATAGAACCTCAAGGGAATAAGCGTTCTACCAGCATAGGTCATTGGATCATCGTGACATACAAACCCGACCACCACATCAAGTTAGCAGCTGTCGGTTGCAGAGGCTTCTCTCAACCCAGCGAAACCTATGTAACTTTCAGAAATCATAGTAGAGGTTATTATATTTCTTAGACAGCCCATCGTTGCCTTACTGGGTCAACATCATGCTTTGGGTTTTGTTTTTCTGATCAATTAAAACTGATTATTAACAGCTTACTCAAGTTTAATCATCGTTTAAACCATCAAGATATATCAACTTACAGTTTCAATCTATGAGATAGTTTGTTCAGTATTTAACGTTTCATAGTGAATTAATCGTATAAGTATTATTAGAAAGTATGTTCAGTCGTCGTTGTCATTTCCTTTTTGAAAATGCATAAACATTTAAAACCTAAAACATCTTTTTCTTTCATGAAACAGGTGTGCACCAGAAAAAAACTAGTGGTAGTTATAAAAATAGAAGAGAACTAACTGACTATAAAATAATCGGTATTACTTAGTAGTAAGAGATAGGGATCTTCTGTATGGTTCAAAGACTTGGCGCGCTACGAAAGGCATTTCTGACAAACTATAGACATTTATCAACAACTGCCTACGCTGGCTCGTTACTGAAAGAATAAGCAACAAGGAACTCTGACCGGGTAACGAACCAACCAAGAACCTGTCGCTCAACAAATATGCAGTGTAAGGAAGTGGAGGTGGATTGGGCATACACTGAGAAGGCCGACTGGGGACATCACACGCCAGGGCGGGCCGTCGAGTGGAACCCAGATGGGAAGCGACGAGTTGGGCATCCCAGCTGCTGTAGGTGACATGGAGGAGATCGTGTGAGGAGAAAATGAGAGCTTGTGGGCTGTCGTAGAGCCAGGTTCAAAAGATTTCAGAGAATAGAGCTCATTGGAGACGTACTACTGAAGTCGTTTATTCCATTAGGAACCCAAGGGACAAATAATAATAAGAGAGAGGGATAGATAGATATATAACACTCATAATAATTACAGTGGAAATAATAATCTTAAATAAACCGAATCATCTTTTGATTGTTGTCTCATCGAATTAGTCGAATGCTGATTGTCTCTCTCATGTACCCAGATTTCTGTGTATACTAATAAACGGTCAATCCAGCGGATTATGCGATAGAATGCTACGCATACACACCTATGTTAAGAATCTCTTCTTGTCTATATTTATATATCTATCCTTAATTGTATAGAATAATTCATTCATCATTCTTCTATTTTCACTTCATCGCCTTGTAAAGATTTTTTTTGTTTTGTTATAATTTACTTAGGGAATTAAATTCAAGTTTACACCTATTTATACCTGTTTATTCTTTGTTTATTTCTTTGATTATCACTAGCAAATGTTTGAATTTTTATTTATAAATAATTAAAGTGAAGTAACAGAATACATATGTATCGAAAAATTAACAAATATTTTTACATTTGATAATGAAACACACGTGAAACATGTGGATTTAAAATGTATTCCTTGTGTTCATAGAGCAGCAGATCGTAAAGAAAATTATAATTTATATTTCTTGCTTTATTTGATTGATATCAATTTATCGGTAGTATGATTATTATATTTGATCTAGTGTATTATAATTCTTGTGCGCTATAAGAAAGAGGATCTTGATTTCAAATCCTACTGTGTTTTATTCAACTTCATTTGAACTCAAGATATCTTTTAATCTCACCGTCGTCATCATCATCATCATCAACATAGGACTCATGCATCACTGTGTAACGGTCTGAGTTGCTAAAAGTAAAAAAGCGGGTAAATGGAAGATGAAGAAAGAAAGAAAAATCAGTCAAAAGAAGTATGAAGTACTAAAGGAGAGAAAGGAAGCATGAAAAAATAATGAGATTCGGTATAGCGTCGTTAAGATGAGGATAATGTGTGTGTGTATATACCTGCACCACTGACATCGGTTCTCAACCATATCACCTAGAGTCAGTCTCCAACCACTCGTTTCCCTTTTCGCGCTGACCCCAACCACCCAGTCTCCATCGACCCACAGGGCTCAAACCAACAGTCAAACACTTCATACATTGATGTCATGTTTTAGTCTGGCTGAGAGCCACCAGCCTTTTTCCAGCCTAAACCTACTTCAACCAACATTGTCCGACCAGGCAGATGGCAAGTAAGCATACCTTACACATATCCCAACCATCTCAGTTGGTGAAGGTTCACAACCACATCAACTGATTTACCTCTTCTCCCTAAGACTCTACACCTGACCTGCCTTACTCATGTGGTGACACCATGGAATACGGCCTATACTACGAAGGCAATGGTGGTCAAATATCTGAAGCCTTCTTATGTCTTCCACTTTCGATGGTCATGTTTCATAACCATGTGGTAGAACAGACCGGACTGCTGTGCAGTACATGCGACCCTTAATAGACAATCGGATATCACCAGGGTGCCACAAGTGGCGTAAGTTGGTAAAAGCCAACCACTAGGGCTGATCCCACTTTCCACACAAGTGAATTGGTCAACACATTCAACCACTACACTCTCTATTTTCAGCCGAGGTACTGTTGAAGACCAATTGTGGAGCAACAATTTGAATTTGGGTGGTGAGAAACGCATCCCAAACATTCTCAAATTGCCACGCGAAGTGTTCAGAAGACTTTGTATTTTATCAGAGTCTTAGCCTAAGAGGACTATGTCATCTGTATATTCTAGGTCTAATGAAATAATAAGTGATAATTAATTTGTGATGCCTAGATAGCTGTTAGATTTATAGCAGAATAGGTAAGCTATATCATGGAATTGTTACTTGCACTGTCAAATAGACATGCTCAACGGATAAGTATACTGCTCACCGGTCCATAACTTTAAAGTAATTTGTGCCAACGAGTAATGTGTTGATAGTGGAGAATGTTGTCTAGATTCTGGGACTATATTAGATTATTGAATATCTGCGTAGTACAACTGACTTGTAATGGAAGTATTGAATGAACAGTCATGGTGTTCGATTTAGCTTTTAGGTAAGGACAAGTAGACAGAATCAACGTAGAACCTCAAATACAAGTCCATCGGTTCAAGTTGCTACACTTTACGGTACAAGTAATAAATGGGTGGGAAAGATTGATATCAAAGTAAACAAAATTTTATGTGATGAGAGAGGATTTAAAAACAAGGGTTTTTCAAAACATTGAAGCTTTAGAAGACATTGAAGTGTAAATAGATTTATGCCATTGTGACCAATTTTCAGCCATGTTACCAAGAATCCTCAACTACTGATTCCCATCGTCTCGGAGACACCAACCAGACAGTCCGCATTCCCCCACATAGCTCAGACTAACAGTCATGGACTTAATGTGCTGATGGCACGTCTTGGTTTGGTCACTCTGAACCTTCCTCCAATCTAATCCTACTTCCCCTAGCGTAGCACTTCTAGGTAGGTGGCGACTCAGCGTGCACAACACGTTTCCAAGCCATTTCAGCCGATGAAGGTTCACTGACTCATCAATCAACTTAACCATGTTGCCTACTACTTTTTGACTTTCCCGCACAATACTCACACGGTGATTCCATTTAACGCGACCAATGCTACAAAGACATCTATTATCAAAAACATCTAACTGTTTTATCTTCTACTTTTAACGGCCATATCACAGCCGCATAACAGGACGGAATGAAATGCAGCGAGATATCTCGCCATTGAATTCACAGGTATTGTCTATCACCAACTATTATCTATTCTCGTTTCGCCTGATTTGTAACAATTCAAAACTGTTTAGCAGCTGTTTGGTCCACTTATCAGTCAACTAATTAGTTGATATTCAATTTGTTCGTAGCTTATATCCTCTCAATCACTTACTCTCTTGCCACTAGTAAGACAACGTGTTGGTAATCAGTTATTATTGGGAAACTGAGTGATAAAGCAAATGTCCTGTCGACTTCCTTTGTGTTCAGCTAGACTGGACAGTTTGTGCAGATTACTCCCATAAAACAAGGGAATCAAATGTATGTTGAGTAGTGAAAGGAAGAGAGAAGACGGAGACGAAGGAAGGGATGTGTGATGTTAACAAGTGGTACAGTAGTCGTTGAATATGGTACACCTTGGACTAAGACAGTCATTTGCAAAATGTGCTTCATTTCCTCTTCTACCTCTACGTTGATTTGATCTTAATACGCCTGTCTTATCTCTTACGTTTCTGTTGGCAGAATCCTTAGCCATTGCTGGTAATTGCCTATGATTTCTGCCACCCTCTCAACAAATACTACTTATATCTATTGTTATCAGCAACGCCCAGTACAAGTGTACTGGTTTACTGTATTGTAAAATACGGGTTTTCAATTGATGATCTAATAATCTATTTGTTGAGTTTCGTGTGGAGTGTGAATATGGTAAACATTAGTCGGTGTACATTAATTTTTTCTGAATTTCCAATAGTTTTTGCTATATGTTGAAGTATGATTCCACTTAGGTACCATATATGCTCGTAAAAATGGTCAAGATACTTCAAAAAGATAAGTGGCTGGTAATCAGATTGAAAAATACTAGAAGTGCCATTTCTCAGGGATTCACACGCTCGATTTTCTGATGTCTGCTTCAAAGCAGTATGTCACTTCATATGCTAAGTTCATACAACTGGATATTAGCTGTCATTTTAGTGCAATTGACCTTACTTGTCATCTGGTGTATAAATTTATTTGTCCATATGCTTTGTCCTTTATTAGCAAGTGAAACAAAATCCTCGAAGTTCACGTAAATCTCTTGAAGACTGTTATATGGTTATTGTTCAACGTTGGACGAAAGTGGAAACACTGCTTGAGTCAATTATGCGGAATACACTTAGTAAGTTTTTCCCATCGTCATCGTATCTTTTTTCGCTGTAGTTTCTCTAGATTTACCCCACGTCTCCTCACTTTTTTATTTATAAACCTTATATCAGCTTGTGTTGACGTGGACTGAAGTGCGCTACACACCCTGGCTTCTATGTAGTGCTTCTTGCTTATTACAAAGGATATTTTTGCTCATATTATTGTTCCATTATCAGTCAACAAAGATAAACATTTATCGAAAAGGTCCCTTTACAAACCTACGAAATCTCATGCTTTCTGACGGATATAACTTGATTGTATTGTGTTTTCTGAGCTAGTTTGCTTGAAATATTGACCGTAGTATTTTGATCCAGTGGCTCAATGATAACGTGCTTGCCGCGGAGCCTAGAGGGGTCGTGGGTGTGCACTGTTGAGGAGTCCCATACTAGGACGAAACAGCTGTCCAGTGCTCTTATATTCCTCTAACTGATGTCAGTCTATGATGTTTAGCAACTTGATATAATTTCTATATTGCTCAGTTCTGTAATAAAAAGTGAAGCGTACATTGATTAATATGTCCACTAAACAACAACCAATTTCATGCTTTTCAGTCCTGAGTAATGACCGAATTCTATCGGTCATATGTGGCCACCAAGCTAACACTGTCACCATCTTCATGCACTGCTATAGCTTTTAGCTGGATGCCAGTAATTGGCAGGAAACCCTGCTTGACCTAGGTTTCCTGCTTCTTGGTACTCATCAGCAAGGCGTGTCTGCAACGTCGAAGGAAATGGTGTACCCTCTGAGATTCGAATCTGTCATATAATGTTTTAGTCTGTGAAGTTGTCACTGAGCTATTTACGCAGTGATTAGCCTCCTGTAGGACTGGATTAAATACATCTACAACCGAGTGATAACTTCGCTGACTGCAACCACTGGGTGACGCGGGTTCGAGTCCTAGGTGGGACATCAGCTCCCTCGAGGTTGCAGATATGCATTGAGGTTAATTCCTATGCACAAAAGATTATGCTCTTTAGTCTAACCAAAAGTCGACATATACTCTTCCTGGATTACCTTCAATTGTGTATATCAATACGCGTAGCTACCGAAGCAGATACATTAGAAGAATTGAAAGAAGGGTATATCCTAGTTTTTTCTGAACACATTCTGAAGAGCCTACGACCGAGAGCAAGTGACTCTGAACAGCGAAGTCACTTAGTATCTAACTGACACTGGACATCAAGCAGACTTCCTCAATCCCTTCAAAATAATAAACAAGCAAATAAGATCACTTCTCGTGAAGTTTGCTGAGGCCATAACCATTAAACGCTTGAAACCTGATCTATGTGTTCAAAAAGAACCAGCTATAGTCAACCTTTGTGTATCTTGGTAACCTTTCCTGACTATTATTTGATAAACGCCATACTTTATCATAGTTGGATATTTATTTCCTCACTCTTATTTATTTGCATCATCTTTAGTTCTTATCAAATGTTTTCAACTAACTAAGCTTAACTTACAATGGTTTGCTTATTTATATTATGTTCTACTTACGTAATTTTATCATGTTAAGTCACTCAACATTTAGATTGCTATTCCTACCGTTGTTTTTGTTCAAGAAACTTCCATTAGATTGTGTACATAATTGTGACAATTTATTACCCTTTACTGACTCTCCTTAAATTCTCCATTATGCTTCACCTTTACTTTGCGCTATGATTATTTCTGTCTTTTTTAGTCACTCACCAACATTCTGTTTTCTTTTAGTAAATTTTAAAGTATTGCATTTTTAATAAAGCTCGATGTTAAGATATTCTAGGGGTTGTAAACAATTTGCCAAGATACCAAGGAAATGAAATGGATCCGTTTTATCCTACTCCCATTGTTATTCTTACTTTTTCCAAAAACTTCATGACTAATTGACTGACTGACAAAATCAACATAGAACCTCGTACACAAGCCCATGAGCTCAAGTTACCACACTTCACAGTGGTATACAAAGAAAAGGTAGATATCGAAGTTGTTTGAGAGAATAAATAATCTGCAAATATTCAAGCTTTCGAAGATGTCAAGGAGTGAATACATCTGCGTCACTGTAACCGATTCCTAGTCATGTCACCACGAGTTCTCAATCACTGATTTCTGTCACCTTCGTAACTCCAACTAGGCAGTTTACATCTCCTCACATGACTCAGACCAATCGTAGGAGACTTCAAGGACTGATACTAAATGTTGGTCTGGCCACCCTGGACTCTCTTCCAAACTAATCCAGTATGAACTATATTCTAGTTTTAGTTTCGCTAATTTCTGTCAGGAAAATCCATGTTTCCAATACACCAAGTCGACTAAGAAACGATTTGAACACTAGTCTAGTCTCCAGCGAATTATTCGCAACTGAATTTCTACCTAAATGCTTCAGTCTATCAGGCTCTTAATTAAGCTAAACCAACAAACTGCAGACATACATCAATAGCTGCCGCCTGCGCCCACCCGATACTGAAGATCAGATAACCAAAAAAGAATAATCAACGAAGAACGCTGTCAACGAACCAACCAAGAACCTATCGCCCAACAAATATGCAGAAGAAAATCGGGATGGATTGGATGGAGACTGAGAAGACAGTTTGGGGACATCATGCTCCACGCCAGGTCTTTGAGTGGAACTCAAAGAGGAAACGACAAGTTGGGTGTCCCAGCTGAGAGTGACATGGAGGAGATTGTGTGAGGAAGAAATGAAAGCTTCTTGGCAGTCGTGGAGCCAGGTTGAAATGACTGCAGAGAACAGAGTGAAATGGCGATGTGTTAGTGAAGCCCTATGTTCCACTAGGAACCCTATGGACAAATAAATAATACATAATAACTCCTAGTTGAACCAATTGTATAATGCTATCCACATAACTGCATGAAATAATATACTAGAAAATTTCTTTAACAGCCAAGTAAAATGTTTAATTACCTTGTTTTTTTTGATTTTTTTCTTTTCAAAATCTTAAGATGACGATAAAGAAGTGGCTAGTTTAGAAATTTCTCGTAATGCAGTCAAATCATTGATAAAGTCAGCTGAGTCTCTATTAACAGAATTTGAACACGCTGAGAAGTTAAGTGAATTCGCTAATCGCTTAGAAGTGCCAACCACCATGACAACAATGATGGGAATTATTTCTCCAACATTTAATAGTCAAAACTCCTCGTCAGATGAAGTTCAACTATTAAATGAATTGAGATCATCTAACACAAAATTAATCAATCATGGACCATTATTTGCTAATCCAATGGTGGCTTCCGGTGGACAACAATGTAAGTACTTGATAGTTTTTAGTTGTATAATAATTTTATTGCTATTCTCAATATTCTTATACGCATAATCATAATCATTGACTGTCTTAAGAAAATCAATAGCCCAACCCTGAACTTCTCGACAATCCAATAAGTAGACGAAATTGACCTTGGTAGTGGTGAGCAGAAGTATAAAATGATGAATTTAGAAAAGAAAGTGGAGACAACAATCCATTTATATATGTGTAAGGCGTCTACATTTTGCAAGAAATTCATATAATCCTAATAAAATGAAATGTAAGTTATTTATTGGTGAAAAAGTTTGGACAAGAGAAAGTTTTTAGGAAATAAAATCACCAAATTGTTATTCATTGTAGACTGACATCAGTTGGAGGAACAGAGAAAACCTGGGAGCACTGGTCAGCTGTTTCGTCCTAGTATGGGACTCATCAACAGTGAGCACCCACGACCCTGCCAGGGACCAAACCCGCACTTACATGTATCCTTAGCTGGTTTCCTAAATTCTAACAAGAACAAGATATTTTTCATTCTTCCAGTAGTAGCTAGGCTAGATGAATATTTGAACAAAGTACACCAGTGGTAAAAAAAGAATAAATGAAACCACTTTCTTTCGCCACGCCCCACAGCCTCCCACCCCAGAAAATGTTGCAAGAAAATAGGTATAAAAAAAAACACACGATAACAAGAATTTGTTGTAATAATAATATATTGTTACATGAATGGTCAACTAACTGTGAGTACATGGTTTAAAAGGTGTATCGAATTTTAGAAACAGACAGAAGTAATGATGAGAAAAACAAAGAAGACTATGGAAACATTTCTAAACACTTTGTCTACACTCTCCTACCTGGAGACAAATATACATAAGAAAATTAACACTAAAACAGACAGCAATATAGGAAAAGAAATACGGTTTTTAGTGCCCTATTAAATTTCTTTCTATAAGGTTTAAATCTCCCAGTTTCCGAAACAAAAATGTTAAGTAGGGAAAATCATGTTAAGAAACAGGATCCATTGTACACATGTAACCATGTGAGGAATTATGGACTGTATTGATTGGTCACGGGAGTGCAACCAATTTCATGTTGTCTAGTCCAGAGTGCGGACCGAATTCTATCGATCATATTTGCAATGTGGTAACCAAGCTAGGAAGCTAAGCATCAATACATGTAAGCCAGTTCTATAGGACATCAATCACGGCCCGAATAGCTCAGTGGTAAAGTCGCTGATGCGGAATCGAATCCCAGGCGGTTGCAGATACGCCTTGCTGATGAGTGTCAAAAAGCACGAAACTTAGGTCCAGGACTTCCCGCCGATTGCCTCCAACCAACTAACATCGACGAATTATGGACTGTTTTACAGTTCACTCGACCCTTATTAGGAAATTGGATATCACCTATATCATTTAGAATACCTACAAACAACCGAAAGTATGCCAGATCGTTTAAAGAAATGCTAAACTTCTGAACAATACAAGAACAAAGGCATTTTGTAGGGTAAGATGAGATCATTTTATTTCCTAGCTGTAAACAGCCTACAAATGAAATGAAATACTAGTAGTAGTAATAATGACTTGATATACTTTAAATATGTAGAAATAAATGGCGATTTGAAATCCAGGATTAACAATAAGATGGTGAGTAAAGGAGACACGGTTAATAGTTACAAATCTTAGTCAAAATCTACGGCTATTTATACACATCTGATGAGACAATAAATTCTGGACCTGTGGAGTGCCCCCCGGGGGGGGGGAACAAACGGAAGTCAGTGTAAAAGAAAGGATTATTTAAGAGCTAGTAGGTTACCTAACTATATGAAAAACTTGAAAATAGTTGGATGATTAATATTCAGTAAGTAATTAATGAAGAGATGATCAAACCAAAAGAAAAGGGAAGACTCTACGCATACACATGTAAAAATGATATACAGTTACCAAGCTGAAGAAAGGTTTATTACAACCTCCTTCTGAGTACATAGGTCAGGTAGAAAATGTTTGACGACCAGAGCTTCTGCAAACCGTAATAAACATGGTGTTCTTTGTTTGTCGATTATCCTAGAGAATTAAGAAACATATATTTGATGTCCTGTTTCCATCAGATACCTGGCGATTGCACTCCTAAAGACCTTGCTACCATTCAGACACAGAGTTCTCGGAATACGCTCATCAAATCAAGTAGACGCCCTTCTTTCAGGTCGTCATATGTACTTCTTTGCACAATCCCAGATAAATTTATACACTATTAATCCAGTTTTTCCCTGACTCACTTACTACCTTATTGTTAATCCAGGATTTCAAATCACCATTTATACCTACATATTTAAAGTATGTTATGCTATTATTACTACTAAAACTTCATTTCAATTTTAGGATTTTTGCAGCTGATGAAAGGCCATGAAATAAAATGAGTTCATTTTATTCTGCTAATTCTTTTGTTTTTACAATATTCAAATTTGTCAACGAAACTAAATGTATGAAATGCTAAACTCTTTGTAGAGAAGTTCATCGGCTCACTTCCTGTTAGTTGCAGGGGATAGGCATTTTGTAAGTGGAAAAAATTCTACCTATTAGGTTGGAACAACGTTGTTGAACGGAAATGTTACACACTCAGTTTTTAGGCAAGAAGCACACTAGTAGAGGTTAACTAGTAACTAGAAATATTCCTAATCAAAATCCACCTTTACAATCTAAACGCTGGCGACATATACGGAGAACTGACAAAGAAATGACTCGATTTCATGCGGCGTTAAATATTCGATCTTGAAAATGATAAAATAAGTGAAGTTCTTCAGAAGATATCCACTTTTTATAGAATTCGTCATTGAAACTGACTTATTAATTTATTTTTGCGGAAACCACACAGTGTTGTTATTAACTTCATTCTTTACCAAAAAATCATAAATTTCTTCAAAGACTAATACTACCTGGATAAATAATACGATCAAGAATACTTATGAAGCAACTCCTTTGAGTAACAGATTCTGATCAGCAGTATGAAAACTTGATCCAAAAATAGGAATGAGACCAGAACCTTGATATCTCACGACAAACGCACCATCACCAGCCAATTTTATAGGTTATTACATTATCACTGTTTTTAATTTGAATTCCTAGTGAAACATTGAACTTCAGTAACATGGCGCCATCGCACTATCTTCTGTGCAGTCCCTCGCACCAGGCTCCACCACCACCCAGAAGCTTTGATTTCTTCTTAATACAATCTCCTTCACGTCATCCTCAGCTGGGACCCCCAACTCATCCTTTCCCATTTCAGTTCCACTCGAGAGCCTGGTCTCGCCCCGCCTCGCCTCGTTCGTGATATCCTCAAACAACCTTCTCAGTCTATGTCCAATCCAATCCATCTCCACTTTCGTCCTCTGTATATTTGTTAGGCGAAAGGTTCTTGGTTGGTTGGTTCGTTGCCTGCCTGCCAACCAGCCAGCCAGCCAGCCAACCAACCAGAGTTCCTCCTTGCTTATTCTTATTATTCTGGTCATCTTATCTTCATCTTCAGTACCAGCATCGAGTGAGCGTAGGCGGCAGCTTCTCATGTGATGTATGTCTGCAGTTTCTTTCTTCGAAGTGCTTTTCGTAATGCACCATGTCTCTGAACCATCACATGGAAGCACAGACCGACTTGACTAAATTAATGTTGAAAATCCGGATATTGTTCACGCTTTATGCTGAGTGAAGTGCAATGCAGTAGATCTCCACACCGATTTCAGATTAACTATGACCTGCCTTGCTTTTGACATCCTCATCTGTGCTGTGCGTGTGCTGCCTGTAGTTGAAACGATGCTGTCTAGGTAGGTGGAAGAGACCTATCCTGTTGATGGTGATTGGTGCTTGTTGTTGTTTCTGTTGTTGGTTGAGTATCTTTATCACCTGTCTTCTCTTCGTTCACCTGAAGGAAGTCCTGTGTTCGCTACCCTGCCTCGCCTCTCCTGTCAACTTGTTAGTTTTTGCCTGTGGATCTTCGAGTTTGTGAGACCTTAGACAAAATCATCATCGGTGAAATGCAAATGTTATAGTGTCTTTTCACCGGTCAAACAGTATGTGCCCATCTTCTAACTCCCCATAGCTTATTGCATGATCTAGTCCTATATATAGATCGTTTTGTTCACCTCTCTTGTTTGGGAGTTATGAATGTGTTTAACATCAATAGGCAGTCCTCTTTTTCTGACTCATGTGTTCAGGATATATTACTCTGAGCTTTATTCGATTCAAAGTTGAAATCGTATCTTCCCGCGTATCATATATAATGATGAAATAATCCACATATCGTTATGTAGAAAGGAAGTTCTTCAGACGAGTTTTCAACCAACCTTTATCTGTGTAATATAGAGGTATGTGTTAGTAAGGAGGGACCTAAATGACTTTCCATGACCGCAACATCGATCTGGTGGGAATGTTAACTTTTTATTAAAGTAAATTTAACATTCCTCGTACATGGAAATAAGCTCCTTAATATAAAATGGAATTAACAATGAAATAGACTCACAAAGATAGTGTGACTAATTGTTAAATTGTCTTAATAATTGTACAGTCTGCAGAGTATCTTCATGATGTCATAACCACTTCGCAAATGCTAAGCGCATATACAGAGTTGCGTTGATTTGAGTTAAGGCACGTCATTCTACAGTATTTCATCATGACTTATGTATGACTTATGTTTTTTTGTAACAATGTCTTGTTTAACAGACACTCTATGCTTCTTTTACGTTCCACTGATATTTGAAGTTGTTCAGCCAACCATTGATTCCTTTCGTCTTAGATGGATTGGTGACTTGTCTTAGTCTGGTCACCCTAAACACTTTCTCAACCTTATCTAACTTAACTTAGCGTTTCATGTCGATGTGAGCGGTAAATGGCTTGTAATGTTCAGTGCATTTCCGAGCCACATCAGTTAATGATAAATTTTTAGATTCTTTTAAATCGACAACACTGGTGGTATTGGTTGCCATCCAGTGAACAGTTTACAAGATAGGCTGTCACACCATTT